CGGGACCGGCTCCGCTCCCCTCCCGCTGGCGCTGCCGGTTTCCGCACCGCCCGGCCGGCCGCGTCTCTGTTGAGCGACGCTTCCCGAGCCCAGGGACACCCCTGGGGCCTCTTACACCCCATCCGAGCCCTTGAACTTCCTTATGGGCTGGGACCCTCGCCTCGCTGCGTGGGAACGAGTCCGGCCTAGTAGTAGGGTAAAGCCTCTCTTAGCAGCGGCCCAGTATTAACGTTGACCGGGCACGTCTGCGCCCCCATGGTCCCTTTCCCGCCCCTAGCCTGACACGTCTTCCATCTGTACGGCCTGGCCCGGGTTTTCCGCAGGGCAGCGTCCTTCCTTAGGCCTGCGGTGCATTGTCTGTCAGGATAGTGTTTCTGACTCTTCTGACTGATTTAATGGATATGGTGATGACATCTTGCTTCCTGAGCAGTAAGCTAAATCCTGACTGCCATTCTCATTTTTAGGGAATAGCGTCAGTGGCCTGGGTCCATTTGCCGATGAAAAGTATGAATGGTGGATATAGAGTTGACCTAGAGGCTTATTTTATTGCCACTTATGTTTTTTTGTGGTTCCTGCCTTTTTTTCATCATACAGAGAATATGAATGGAGGATTTGTATTTGGGTTAAAGCTGTGCCATGAAATAGCTTTGTCAGCCAAGGCAAAGGTCTTTATATGAGCAGCATAGGTACATGATTTTAAAATATAAAGTAAAAACAAAGAAATAACAAGCAGAAATGGTCTCCCCATACAAATAATTGTTTTTATGTAACATTTACTTCAACACAGAATTATTTTAAGATGAGCATTTTCAAAATCTTCTAGAATCACAGAATGGTTTGGGTTGGAAGGGACCTTTAGAGGTCACCTAATCCCTTGTCTGCCATGACCAGGGACATCTTCCACTAGATCAGGTTCCTCCAAGCCACATCCAACCTGACCTTGACAGATTATCCATTACCAGTGATGTATACAGTACAACTTCACTGAATCATTTTGTACTTCCCACGTATTTATTAAAAGATTAGTATCTCTTGAACTTTCTTACAGTTCAGTTCAAAAAAAGTTCCTAGGCTCCAGATCTTGTCACTAGCAGGAAATTGCTCACCTGAGTATTCTTTGGCAGATCTTTTAGATGAACCTGTTCTAATCTGTGGCTTCAAGCAGCGAACAAAGGGTTTTCATGATAAGAGGCATAAATTATCTCAGATCTAAAACACACATACAGAAAACAAGAGACGAAAGAGAATACCTCGCCTCTAATCAGTACCTTGAAAATGTAGATACTGTAGAAGTACATCACCATGCTGGTTTTCATAATACTTAAAAGGATTTGCGACTGTAGGAGAAAGGCAAGACAACCGTGAGGATCAGGGAGACGTTTACAGTGGTGAGTTTAGCACTTAAATACAACACTAATGTTTAGCAAAAAGATTATGGCAAGCGTGTGAGATCATGTGAGAATATTTTTTTCTCTGCCTATCCATGTTGCTTGTTAGAGGATATTCTGTATGCTTCCAGAAACCTGGAGAAAGACAGGATCTTTCAGTGATATTTTTCTTAAGATTCTGTGTTGAAGGAGGTAAAAGTAAGATTCCTCAGCCTTGTTGTGTTTTTATTTCCTCAAGAAAAACAGTGACCCTCATGTCATATCCAGGAGTTTGGATTCTCTGTGATGCTACCTCTTGTGTCATGGCTCCTTAATAAGAATGTTGTCTTGTGGGATTAACAGTCATGATCTGTAGTTACTGACACTTTCTTCTGAGTTCACACTTGACTCTTGAGATAGGAAACAGCTGCTGTCTGAGTATTGTCAAATGGAGTAGAGGAGAGTAGAGTTACACCTCCAGTTAGTTTTCTTTCTCCAAAGAAAATGAGCTGTGACTGTGGCAAGCCAGTAGCTCAGTGAACAGCATAATTTTTGAAGCATAATTTCCAAAGGACGTTATCCCTTGGAACTTTCCATCCCATTGTCTCCCAGGCTTCCTTACCACATCCTTACTAAGCAAGTCACAACTTTTGCTGGGTGAACAGCCAGCTGCTCCCAAACAGAATATATATAAGCTGGGTTTTATCTGTCGTCTTTTATGTGAAAGCACAACTTTTGTTTATTTTTTTCCTATTCGCTGCCAGTGAGTATAAAAAAAAAAAAAAATTATTTTAACTTAAACCATCTTTGAAAGCAGGTACAAGCTGCTCAGTGGGTTAAAAAGTTACTGGAAACAGAAAGGATACTAATTACAGAGCTGCTTAATTAATTTAGAAGCAGTATACATAGTTTAGTAACTTTTACAAATCATTGTCAGTTTATCCTGTCAACTGTTGAAATTTTATGTCTGAAAGCTCAACAAAACTTCCTAGTGGGGTTGAAAAAATTGCCAACGCATGTGGTGTGGTGAGCTGGAAGAGGGAAGAAGCCTCAAGTAACATTAAAATGAACGATGACCTCTCACCTGCTGAAGGGTGGTCTGTACTTTGTAGCAAAAATGTGCAATTGTAGCAAAACATGAATACACATTAAAGAAAATCTTAGTAGACATGTTTTCTGTCTGTGATTGCAATTCGGTGATGAATAAAACAAAGAATTGCAGAAAACTTCACAAAGATGGCTTCTTCCATTTCACCCTCTGGTTAGGACTGACCTTGCGCCCTGTATTACTGCAGAAAAAATTATTTGGGAATTTTCCGTGAGGACAAACATTTCTGTCACAATCTTTGTTCCTGTCTTAGAATGGTGTTTATAGAAGAAAGGGGAATTGCTCATATAACCCATTGTAAAAACATTTATTAGTAAATACTGATCCAAACCAAGCTCTCAGATATAAACATACCAGAATTGGAGATGATGTTATGCAAAAGAGCTTTCAGGAGTCTTAAAGTACTAAGTTTTTTATTTGGCTTATTAAAAGTGACAAGGAGGAATCAATCCTGATTCAGATTTACAAATAGCTTTGTTTTTATCATGGCCTGAAGGTAGACAGGATTAAAAACATCTAGTTTTTCTTACAGTCTTAAGGTGTCTGTGTATTGTGAATTTATCTTGGAATGATGGACATGGTTTTTGCCTCTCAGTAATATAATGCCATCGGGCATTAAATTTTTTGGATAAGAAGCAATTAGTCTTGCAGGGAGTTACAGCTGCAGTAACAATTTTTTCATCTGATAAAGTCTTTGCTACCCAGCTAATCTGATTTTGCTGAGAATCTGAGGATTTTATGCCAAAACTGTAAGGCAAGAAGATGCTAGGACCTCCATTTCTGCCAGTCATGCAACATGCAACTTGTGTCCCTGTACTTGACACTAGCAGACCACTGTGGCAGCTCTGCCATGCCCCTAGCAGTAGGAGCAAATATTGTTAATTGAGGACAAGGCAAGAAGGGTCTGTGTACCTTTCCTCCTGTCAGAGAACTGAAAAAGACAGAGAAAGGAGAACTATGAGATGTGGTATGTCTAGGTAGGTACAGTGAAGTATGTTTTCTACACTAGTATTAATGCTTAGTAAATTTCATTCTATCTGTAAATGCACTTGTAAATAGTAATGCTGTTGTGGAGTAGGCATGTTGTGAGTTACTACTTGAAGTGTTCAGTATAGAGACTTTTGTGTCAGTGTACAAGATGCTGTGAGAATACATCTTCAGTGTTTTGCTTCTGTGTTTATAGAACAGAGAAAACTGTTTCTTTTGCCATTGTAAAATTAATCTCTTTATTTGATCTGGGTGCAGTGAGTCTACTTTTACAAATTTTACCACATACTTAAACAGTCCAGAAAGCCAACAGTTGTAAGAAACCATTTATTTGCTGAGTGCCAGGCAGTTCTTACTAAACATCTTTGGCATTCTGTCTACTATTAAACATCTTCATTTTATTCAGTAGTAGCATGAGAAGCAGGGATCACATTTTTCCACAGCCAGTTGAAATTAAAAATGGGCTGATAATACATTGTAGATTTTCCACTCATGATCCAAACTCTAAGTTGCACAAAAAAGGAAGTTATCATAAAACAGTAAATGTCACAATTTTTTTGATTGACTGCATCATTTGACACCATGAGCATCCACTAATAGCTACAGTGTTGAATACGCTTTTCTGCTGATGCACAGGGCTTGGTGTTCAAACTCACCAACAGTTTTCATTTTCAACATTGTGACCAGAGAAGGAAGGTGGAATCAGCTGGCATCTTGTTAAAAATGTTACCTGCCTTACAGATGCTAAGAATTCAAATCACATACCTGAGCTCTGCCTAACAAGAGACCATGCCCAGAGCCATGGGACAGCAGAGGCTTAGCAGAGCTTTTCATTATTTCTTGACTATGTTTTTTCCTGATAGAGAAGTATTTGTTTTTCATGTTTTAAAGAGATAGTTCTACTACTAACAACAATAAAGTCTATAAATAGTATACATAAAATCTTATTAACTTTTTTTTAATTATTAGGTAAATTAAAAGATAAGCTTTTTGTGCAGCCCTTAGAGCAGAAAGAACATGCTATACCTTTACTGCATGCAGGAACTTCTTAGGCATATTGTAAGGATGCTGGAGAATGTAGTTCAGCTTTGAATTTTACAGGTTTTCTGCGAGGATAAGAGACATTCAGAGAAATAGAAGGCATGTGGTTTTTTCCTATTGTGCTGTGGACCCAGTCTCTAGTTTTTGATTGTTAACATTGATAAAATTATTTTTCTAAATTTATCAAACACTGGCAGATAGGATGTTAGCTGTATTGCAGTTGTCAAAGTATTCAGTACAACAAAACAAAAATATTTCAGCATCTTCCTTTTTGAGAACTTTGACTTTCTTCCATGTCCATGTTCAAATTCCTGTAGCACCATCTGTTACAAACTCATGCTTTTTGCACACTGCTTTTATTAGAGTGAGGATGTCATCTGATTCAAAATGTGCTGGCATGTTAGAATGACT